TTTTGTTTATTACGAACTCCGTGCAAATTGACTTTACTTTCCCGGATTGTTGCGTATTTCTGCCACGATAAGCGCTGCGATCGCTTCACTATACCCCCACCATGTACTTCGCACATAGCGAATACAATCCATTCATTTCAATCATAAGGCCTATTAATTTTCTTAAACAAATTTAACATAGAGAGATCGCCATCTGCGGCGATCTGCGTTGTGGAAGTTAGGCAATTTCGCAATGTCCGTTCATAGGATGGGTGACCACTTAGTACTGAGAGCTTCACCGTGCTCCGGTACGTATCGGATTAACCTTTGGTCCTGGCTGCAGTCTTCAGCACGCAGATTGCTGCGTGATTAAAACTGCAGTCAGACCATTAACGTAAATTTTAGTCATTCGGCGGAATCGAACTTTTGATGGGCAAGTTAAGAAAAGCCGCTGATAATATTCAAAAATACGTCATGACGGTCTGAAAGCAGCTGTTACAAAAAAATTTTTTTCTTACATCCGCACTAAATGGAAATAGGAGATTCAGGAGACACAGTCAAGTCATTTATTATCTTAGGTGTTCAGTTCACCAGCCATACAAGACTCAGCTTTAAAGAAACGGGAGAGAAATAAAAACAGGTTATGCGCCAGCTAAGCTACATTTGGCCGTTAAGGTGTGGTAGTGTCCTCGTGGGTTATATTGATACTAGTAAATTTTTAAATGTTTAATTTTTATGATACTTCTGCACCTTTGACGCTCTACTTACCCCCACAAGGGAGTGACTATCGTGTTTGCAGTAAGTACAAACATCTATAAATCACTAGCAAACCCGGCGAACTCCGTTTCGCCACCAGATGGCTTCGTTTTATGTAACATTTCGTTTGGTGATTAAAAATTTTTTTTTTAAATTTTCCTGAATTTTCTTTGCTATAAACCTCACGGAGCCCGAGACCTTTCCAACGAATGCAAAACCCTGGAAATCGGTTCGTGCGTTCTGGAGTTATAGCGTCAGGAAGGAAAACCCGACTTATTTTTATATAGTAGAATAACAAGTTAGTACAAGACACAGTATCACCTAAAAATTTCATAAACGTTTTACGCCGCTTGACCTTATTAAGGACGCATGCGGCCATGCTAGTTCGCACCCCAATGTTCAAAGTTAAAAACATCTATTTGAAGTGTTAAAGGCGTGAATTATCGTTCCATTGAACGTTGGCTCACCCCTCGTACCTCGTATAAATATAGACCGCGAAGCGCGCCGAACCACCCGTGTAGGTTTTACACCCGATTAGCCGTGTTACTTGCACCCCCGCGAGCACACGGATACATTATACCCCGACTGATCTCCCATTAGGTACATGAGTGTAACATGACCAGCCACTTCCCTAACGAACACGCTTTACAAATCTGTAACTAACAGAAGACGGAAAACTACAAAGAAAAAATTTGTACACAAAAAAGTTTTCGTAGAAAAATGTTATAAAACCTCTTTAGTGGAAAGATAGGAAATTATTCATTAAAATAGATTGGAGATTTCGAATGTGGAATGTGTTCTAATTTTTTATTTTTCTGCTGTTTAATGGTGGGTGATGTGAAATGCGTGTATTGGGGCATGGCGTTAGTGCTGGCGTCTGGCCGTCGGGTCGCTCCGGTAGGAAGCTGCGCCTCTTAATATTGTAAACAAGAGCTTTTTCGATTGGTGGGCGGTACCGCGCACGCGCCGCACGCTATGAGCTTGCATCGCCGTTCGTTCTATACTAAAATTACAGAAAAATACGAACAAAATTTGTGTATTATATACTTAAATCATAATTTGTAGCAGCTACGACGTAGTATGTGTAGAAGACTACGAAGTTTTATAGTTAGGCCTACACTACATTACGTTTTTTTTTCACTATGTATTTACTGTGTTTTTTTTTTTACTTCAGTATGCTCTATATTTGGTTGACTTTAGCAATAAAATGGTAAAAAACATATATGTAATTGGTTGAATTTTTCAAATACGCTTTACAGCTACGATCGTAGACCAAATATTCCTAATGGCGAAACAACAACATTTTTCTACATAGAAAAAAAAAAATGGTTGCCCGTAAAGTCGGTTTTACGGGCGAAGATTTTACGTGACAACGTCTTTTTCTCGGTAGAATATTTATTGATATGAATATAATTAAATTGCACAATAGGAACAAGGAATTGAATGAAAATAAGAATTGCACAAATTTTAACTATAGAAATATATTTTGTTTACTAAAACATTGTACATGTAAACTTAAACTTAACACGAGAGACTCATCGTAACGTTACCGAGCGTTACACTTTTTCATAAGTGACTCCCAGCCGCAACCTAATTTAAGACGTTGTCACGTCAAAATCATATATAAAATTTTCTTAGAGCTCTGTTTAGTAATTGGAACTGTCACTCTAACCCTGAAGAGAAAGGGCACAGCGGATGATTGGGTCGAGTAGTTTCTTCCTTGAATTTGGACTGCGAGTTGGTGTGACAATGGGAGTAAAGCCGCTGTTTTGTATGCCTTGCGCTACTCTGTTTTCCGTGGTGTTATTTTTATTATTAGTTAGACTCCAGGGCTCAAAGTGTTGAGGACTGTATTAAGGAAGGTAACGCGTGAGTGATACTGTACCTACGGTATCGCGTTTATTGTCTTTCGTGGCCGCTTACCTTTGGGCTTGTTAATCTTACCTCTTTTATATAAAGATTGGAATGGAATGAAATTTTTGTGATGGAAGTTGACCTCAATACATGTTTATAAGTTTGATGTCAGCTTTCCATTTGACGACTCTGTATAAAATAATACAGGAAGATCAAAGCAGCCCTTGCTGAATATCTTGCCGGTTCTTCTCAGTACAAGGTCTCCCGCCGTAGACTTGCGAACCGATGGCGTAGTTTTCAACTTTCACATGTGCTCGTAAAAGCCTAAGCTGAATAAATGAATGTATGTCTTTTAATTGTGATTGCAGCCCAGTTGCAAATAACTGATGCGGCAGAAATTAATGCCCCTTCAACCTGATCACCTTGCCGGCCTGAAGCCACCTTCACCGTGGAGCCCCGGAATCACACTCTGACAGGAACAAAAAACCACCAAAGTAGTGCTTTTTCACTGCGATCTTTCGTATTATGACAATGTTTGCTTCCCTAGATCACCGTTGTGTGAGTGAGTAATAATTAATTACTGACAGAAACACGTATATACCACCAAAAAGCTAGTGTTATTTCATTATCATCATCATCAGCCTATTAATGTCAACACTGTTGGGGCACAGGCCTTCCTTATGGATGGAATAGGGAGACTGGGCCATAACCCACCACGTGGGTCCAGTGCGGATTGCGGGTGCTAACGACTGCAGATGCAGCCGGGGCCAACGGCTTAACGGTGCCTTCCGAAGCACGGAGGAACTCGAGATAGAAGTGTTATTTCACTGCGTTCTTATTCAGGTGATGGTTACTCCCGCAGACGAGCGCTTCTACTATTTCAACCGAGAAAATATAGAAGAGCAGAGATGAGAAAGAGAAAACTCAGATTTTTTTCATCTTGTGAGTTGAAATCGATCCACACACGATGGTCCGTTGCGACAAACTTTATTTCACTGCGGTGTTATAAAAAGATAGCGGTTGCTTAAATGCTCCCCCAGATGAGCGCTCCTATTTCAACGAAATAAAAAAAAAAGAAGATTATGAGAAAGAGAAAGCTCAGTTTTATTCCATCTCGTTAAATTAAATCGATCTGTAGAAGTGAAATAAACCTTGTTACAGTATGCCCTAACAAGGTTTCTTTCACTGCAGACTTCGTTTAGGTGATTGTTGCTATGACTCAGTGCTCCTATTTAATTGAAAAGAAGAAATCTGAGAGAGTACACTGAGCTTTTTTCTCGTCTCGTGAGATGAAATCGATCCACACGCAATGGCCCGCCGTAACAAGGTTGGTCGTAAGGGCGGCGCGACGGGCGGCGGCACGCGCCCGCATGCGCCGGCTCGCGGGCGGGGGCGGCCCCAATGTTGCTAACCCGTGCGCTGCGATCCCGAATTATGGATTTATTCATAACTGATACATCAGCAAATACGTAAAATGTTGTTTCTTATGAATTAGTTTTTTATACGAGTATAAACATATATTTTTTTAATTATTATCAGTTTTAATATGATGCATATCGCACATGTAGTTTTGTTATTCATTTATACTATAAATTTCATAGAGATGCAACATCACACTGCTCACCACGCAGTCGATAGGGAATTCATACTGTCATCTACTAGCCACATTGATCGTGCATGGTGGGGTTTCAGAAGCGCTATCTTCCAAAGTTTTCTTTGAAAGGGTGTCAATAGTCGTATATTTCTTTTTTGTTTTTTTATTTATACCATTATATAATTTTAAATCACTTTATATAATCACAATATTTTGTCCCTCTGGCGTCCTTACACAGGCCCTGTCAGAATACTAGCGCTGTTATGGTGGGAATATCCCTTCCCACAATAACCGCATTAAGCTGAGGCAGGGTCCTGATTGGCCATTCTTTGTGCTCATGTGTATTTTCTCTGTTCTGTTTTAATTTTATTGTTTTTTTTTCTACTTATGTACCAACTTATGGCCAATAAATACTTTTTCTTTCTTTCTTTCTATATAGGTAGGTTGGCACCGCGCAAGTGGTGCTGTAATCGGTTCTACTGTCATCAATCTTATTTATATGTATCCTTGTAATGTTTGTTTATTCATGTGTATGTTCTGTTTTCTGTTTCTATTTCTGAGTAAGATTGTAGCACGCCACGGGGTAGGTAGGTGAGGTGAGGAATAGAATCGAATGTAATTTCATTCTAAAATCGTTGCTCGTATAGTATATTATCATTATCAAATCTAGGTCAGACTAGGAACATTTTCCAATTTCTTCTAATCCACGGTATTTCTGTAAAAGAGCCTGAAGACGGAAACCAATGTTCACTAAAGTCGTTGGTCAGGCCAGTGCGTCGTTTTCCTCGTTTCGACGTGTAGCAACACATTGCGGGGCGGGGTGGTGGGGCACGGGCGCGTGCGCGCTGCGGCCGGGGCGCGGGCGGCAGACGCGCCGCGATGGTGGGCCGCGACAGCCGCTCGGAGAGCGCGGCGCGCCCTTTGGCGCCGCGGCATGAGTAGCGCGCCCGCCCGGCCCGGCCCGCGCGCCCGCCATGGCGCAGGCCGCGCCCGCGCCCCATCGCACCCACTCCTTCGCGAAGAAGACCTTCCACAAGCCCACGTACTGCCACCACTGCTCCGACCTGCTGTGGGGCCTCATCGGGCAGGGCTACGGGTGCGAAGGTACGCGTCGCGCATGCGCCCCGGGTGCGTCGATACCGGCTCCGCGCGTCCGCCGCCGGCACGACCAGCGTTATGCAACCCGGTTCCGGCGTCCGGTCCTGGCGTTCGGCCTGGGCGTGACCGGCCGCTGATCGATACCACCGACTCCGGTCCTGCTGCGGAGCCTGCGACCACGCCGTGCCGTCGCATCTCCTCGACGTGCACCCCGAGTTTCAAGGACGACAAATGACTATCATAAGCGTGTTCCCTCGCATCTTCCTCCCGCACGCTGGGCCCTCGGTGCGCGTGGAGATGCTAGTGTAGCTGAGTAGACTGTCAGTGACCGGAGTCGGGGTTGAGATGTTGCAAATCAGCTGAAAGTACCGGGGAAACGAGTGAAAGTTTGAGAGCACAACGATCGATTGGTTTCGTATGAGCTTTTTGGTGGCGGAAGCGCGGGCGGGGTCGACTCTACATCCCCGATATCCTTATACCTAAGCTTGATGTTTTGGTCGTGTTCACCCTGGTAAGTGAACTCTGGTGATGTGTAACGAGGTAGCGATCGACTAAATTCAATGCGTCAACTTCGCACCTACAGGAGGACATCTTGTTTTTGCGCATTTGTTTTGATCCTTCGCGCTGTCGTTTTGAGTCGATACTTCTCGGTCAAATTATTATCATCTTCGGATGGTGTGATTCACGTAATCTATAAAGAACATCGTGTTTTTTTAAAGGTAGGAGCTAAGCAATGAATCTGAGTTCATAATTACTACAAACACCACAAGATCGATATATGTATATATACTAACATTTTCAAACGTCAAATACAAGTCGCATAAACATGATTTATTGTAATGATTACTTCTTAAATATAAGTCATATGGAAATGATCTTGACTAATTTCTGACAAAAACCATGTAAAACTTAAGTTTAGGTACATATGTACATACTACAGTTCCAAGTAATTTAACAACATCTCGCCAACATTTAAGATCCACACAATTTAAAGCATAAAAGAACTATATAATTTTTAAAACTCGCAGTTTAAAAATTAGTTATTATTATTTATGGTTAGTAAAATTCCGAAAAATCTCTACTTGCACATAGGATTTCTTAACATAATGTATTAGTACTTGTCCATGCTTACTTGTACTAACTGAAATCCTTACAAAAAGTACTAAAATAAACTCATAATAATAATAATAATATCTCGGGAACAAGTAGGTACCTGCCTTAGTTTTTGCAATAAATAATTTACAAAACAATAAACAACAAATTCAGTTTGCCAGATAGGTCTTTACAGTAATCAACGTACCACTGTTCACACTTTGTAACGAAAGAAGTTGTTTCGTAATTTGGGAAATCTTTCCATGTTAACGGGGCGGCGTCAATTACATATTTTTTGCGTACTTGATCTGTACAAAGTTTTGATTTGTGTAAATAAATGGAACAAATCTTAATGAAATCAGAATCTACCTCTGATTCGGCATCTACTGAAAAGGCATCTATACATAAGTAATCAGCCGGTTTGCATATTTATTTGCTTGTAGCATATGGAATTGATTTTTCGTACAATTCGATAGTCGAATCTGTAAATCCACTTAAAATAACGAACTGGTTACCGCTAAATTTGTATGTTAAAATTATGTAAATTTACTGTGTTAGGAAAGGATAAAATCCAAAACGAGTGATTAGATCTAATTTACAAGATCCTTTGCTTTCCAAATAATGGGAGATGCTGCAATAAACAAACGGAAAGAACGACTAAATTATTTGGTACTACACAAAACTAAAACAAATGTAAAAACCAAAACCTTGGTAAAGTTTTAAGAAGAGTCAGTTGAATTTTTACGAGTATGTCGTTGATTATTATTTATTTGAACAATCATAAAGCAATTTTAAATTTACATTTCTTTTCAGCGATTCTAAGACAGCAGTTATAGAAAGAACTTATTTTTATAAAAAATAAGCGTTTCACTTTATTTATTCGGCCGTACGTAAAGTTTGTTTTAATCCATAAACTATAATTTGCTTAATGTGAAGTATCAAGAATTCATAAATTATACCTACACTTGAGAAAAGATTTTCTCTCTGCCATGATTATAGAATAAATATACCTATACAATTTCAGATTCCTTACTTATACATTTATACAGTTGAATTTGAACTGAAATAACAAATATTTTAATATATTACGTTATAGCTGCCGGCTGCGTTGTCCATTTTCCTTGATTATCATACGAGTGAACAGGATAACGACGCTGCACAAACGAATCAAATATAATCGACTGATTAAAAAGGTATTTACCTCATAAATTTGAAGTATATTTTATCCCTTTAACAGTTGTACAATACGAAGATCGATATAAGTTCACGTCGTTAAAAAAATATTGTATGTGTGGAACAATGCTTACTACTGATGCCATTTTATCTTTTTATTATTGTCAAACTGGTTTGAGGTTTTATGTTTTATTAATTTATAAGCATACAGACTTCTTTTTGATGATCTGCCTCTGTTTTTATCTTTATAAATATATATTTGAGCGGATTGCCATTGCAACATTATACGCATTTTATCTCTTTATTATTTTTTGTACAATACGGAAAAAGGTACTGCTTTTTTGTAGACAAATGAAATTTAAGTCTGAATTGAAACCTTTTATACAAAACTTACACGTTAATACATGGAAAGGTACCGCTGCGTTGACACTGCCTTCGTTTTTATTTATGTTTGGCAGCATTTTATATATTTCTGTCTCATTGTATGTGTTATGTCTTATTTTTATATACAGCTATGGAACACAATCCGTTGTTACCTTAAGTCGGTGAAATGTGTTGAAAGTCACGTCGCTAAAAGTACATTTTTGTTTTTACCTCGCCTGCCTTGGCTATTATGTTTAAAGAGTTTCCTAAGTGACATCTTACAATAGTAATACAATATCTGAATAATTCCATAGTTATATTAACCTCGTATACTTTCGTGTTTCAGTTCATCAAAAATAAACATTTGACAATTGTTTTCTTGAATCCTGGTCCTCTCAGTACACGGCATGACGAATTTGTAGTTGCTTTGGAAAGTCGGTTGGTGGATGTCTTGGCTATGAATGAGACTTGGCTGAAAACAGGTGAAGAAGAACGTGCGCCAGCTCCAGCTGGTTATAGACTGGTGCCATATACATTCGGAGTGGCTTATATGCTCATGAAATAAAACCTCCACATACTAGCTTAGTGGAGCAAATATGGATAAGCATCACACTGAACGGTCTCAAGCTCGTCATCGGAATGGCATATCGACCACCGTGGTTGAGTGTGAACACTTTTATTGATGCGCTTACACAGTCAGTTAGCATGTTTTTTTGATCATATTGTCTTAGTGGGGGATCTCAATATTAATCTGCTTGCTTCCGAGGACCCGAATGCTAAAAAGTTAAAGTCATTTTTTCAGTACTCAAATTTAGAACAATATATTACTCAACCAATCCACTTCACTACTAGTCATTCTGAGAGTATTATTGACCTCGTATATAGCACCACAAAAATTTCTAATGTCTCAGTTGATTACATCCCGACTTAAATCATCATGCTTTTATCTCATTCAAGTTACGTCTTCACAAACCTAATCATCGTCTCCACAAATCATCTCCTAAGTGAATATTCTATAGATCACTTAAAGATATCGATTTGGATGAGTTTAACAGCCTCCTAAATAACGTGCTTTGGGAAAGAATAGTCAGTGGTGATATTGACGGAGCGGTTATCTCCTTCAACGCTTATATTTTGCATATTTTTGATATCTATGCCCCTGTTAAAAGGTCTTATGCGAAACGTCAAAGCCAACCTTGGATAACGTCAAATGTAAAACAATTGATGAAGTTGAGAGATGAAGCTCAAGCTAAATGCCGTATTACAAAACAAGATGCGGTCATACAATATTATAAAGATCTAAAATCGATCGTCAATAAATCCATGTATACTGAAAAAGCCATATTTTATCGGCAACATATCAATAACCACTACAATAATTCCAGATTGCTGTAGAAAAATGTAAAAAAAACATATTTGATTTTAAGAATAAAGAAACTCTAATATCTTCTCATATAAGTAATCCAGATCTTATCAACAGTCATTTTCTCAATATACCTGGTAATGATGCAGTGAGCATCTCGGACCTTTCATATTTTGAGCATCACCGCTTCAATACTTCGTCTTGTAGTCTTCATACAGTTGACGAGTCAGAAATTTTAAATATTATTATTAATATTTCAACTAACGCAATGGGCGCAGATGGTATAACCCGTGATATGATTTATTTAACATTCCCTCATACTCTCCAAGCAATAACGATATTGGTAAATAAGTCCATTCAAAATAGTATTTTCCCTACTTTTTGGAAAGAGGCTCTCTTTAAACCGATCACGAAATAAACCGACCCCAATGATTTTAAGGATCTTAGACCGATCAGCATTCTTCCTTTTATATCAAAAATTATTGAGAAAGTCGTGTGCCAGCAATTAACGGTTTATTTGTATGCTAACGGTATTCTACCTAAGAAGCAGTCTGGATTTAGAGCTGGAAATAGCACAGCTACTGCTTTGCTGGATGTTGTGGATGATATTTTGTCAGGACAGGATACGGGAAAAGGTTCCATATTGGCTCTTCCGGACTTTTCACATGCCTTTGACACAATCAATCACAATCTTTAATGTCTAAATTATCATTTTATGGCTGTAGTAGTAGTGCATTAAGGTGGCCCTCAAACTATCTCTGTAGGCGTTCACAGCGGGTTGAGGTGGTCGATGAATGCGGAAATAAATCTATTTCAAAGACTACCCCTCTCAAGGTGTACCACAGGGCTCAATAGTTGGGCCTCTTCTATTTATATTATATAGCAGATATGACTACTGGTATCAGAAAGTGTAATTACCATTTGTATGCAGATGACTTGCAAATTTATCTGTCTTTTAAACCGAGTGAAACATTAGTTGCTATAAATCAAATCAACGAATACCTTGAGGCTATTG